TCTCAACCAAATCTTTTCCAATACACGACGTAACATACCTTTAACTTAACCACAATATAATGTGTTGTCACCCCCTCAAAAGGGAAAAAGAAAATAAAATGGGAGACAAGGATAGTTTCTTGTCATCATATTATAACCAAAATTTCAACAAAAATAATCTTTAATTATAATAATAGATAGATACCTTAATAAAGAGTAATTAATTGTCAAATATCTAATATCGCTTATAGACTATAAAAGATATACACAAAAATATATCAATTATCACTAAAAAGATATATATAACCGTAATTAAACTATTCTCATTATTTTAATTATACCTTAATAATTATTTTTTGATAGAATGCCAATAAAAAGACAACAAAATAAGAAAAAAATAATAAGTATCTAACTTTTGGATGGGCCACCATAATAAGCACTTGTCTGTTGATGGACAAAATAGTGAATGAAGATGGTCCACCTATGAATGAATTGAATAGAAGTTTGCTAATGTACATGATGTGCGCAGCTGAGTTCCTCACAGCCCAATCGAATGGAAACAAAACAAAATAGGTTCATTTTAAATTTTTATTACAAAGAATTTATGATTAATCAGATGCTTTTTTCGTTTTTTAATTTGTTTTTTTACATTTCTCTTTAATTATTTGATAAAAAAATTTGACAATTTTTTAGTTTTAACTTTTCTATGACATATGAAATTATAAGATTAAAGTTATTTTGATATATCTCAATTTTAGACTTTAAGATTTTAATGTTACTTTTACTTTCTTATACTTTGTCAAGTTAGAAAAGTGCATAAAAAGATACTCCTCAATCTCTATTTAGATTATCCATTTTTCTTTTTATTTGATTCAAAAAAATTATATATTTATATATTTATTAATTATTTAAATTTAAAATGTTCATTTAATTCTTAGTAAAATTATTTATAGAACATATAAATATCTATAATTATTTTAGATTATAAATTTTTAAAATTTTTTTTATATATTTTATACCAAGTCAAAGCAACTCATATAAATTGAGACAGAGAAATAGTAAATTTCAGGTGCATTCAGACTTGAAAAATATTTTTCATGAGAATATTTTCTAAAAGACAAGTGATTTCTTATTTATTTTTTAAAAAAATATATCAAACAAGATGTTAATTAATAATATAGAAAGCTAATATATATTATATTTTTCTAATGCATTCACCATGATGTGATATGCTCCCTCCGTTTCAAAAAGAATGTCTCTATTTTTTTTTAGTTTGTTTAAAAAAGAATGATCCATTTCCTTTTTTGACAATATTTTAACTTTAATTTTTTACGTGACATGTTTAAGACTACAAGATTAAAGAACGTTTTGTTACATTTGACATAAGAGAACCACAAGATTAAAAACTCTTCTTTCTTTCCTTAAACTTCGTTCTAAGTCAAACTACGTCATCCTTTTTGAAACGGAGGGAGTAATATTTTACATTATAACAAGCTAGCATTATCTTTGTTTGATGGCCTGATTGGTCATTTTTAAAAAGTTCTGTTCTTATTGTTTTTCTATTGAGATCGATCTCGTGTCTTTTAAGTCTGGAAAGTTAATTTTAAATTTTGAGTTAAAATTACTCTATTTGAAAAATAACAATTGAAGCCTGATACTTATTTCTTAGAGTGTGTTTGGTATGAAGGAAAATATTTTCTGGAAAATGTTTTCCAATTTTTCCCTGTTTGGTTGGAACAAAAGTTTTGGAAAATATTTTACAAATCAACTTATTTTCCTCAAAATTAAGGAAAATGACTTCCCTTCAAAAATTAAGGAAAACATTTTTCATAACTCTCCTCCAATTTCAAGTTACTTTTTTTTGGAAAAAACATCAATTTAAATAAATATTTTCAATTTCAAAATTTTATTTTTTCACCTTATCATTGACCCTACCCCCCCCCCCCGCCAGCGCCCCCAA